GACCGCATTGGGACTCGGGCGGCGCAGCGTCCGCGGGTGTTCGTGGGATCAAGTGTCCGTTTCCCCTGCGCCCCGCTTGCAAAGTCCGTTCAGAGCGGCGTGTCGTGGGGTCGGCTGAGCGGGTCTGCGGTGGGCGTTGCGGGGGACTGGCCGCGGAGGGAAGGCGGACTGTGGCGGAAGGGAAACCGGCGCGCGCTTAGAAAGGAGTAACAGGTGTGCGGGCTGGATCTCCGTCCTGGAGGCTGTTTCTGTCTTGAATATAGACAGAAATGGTGCTTTCTGATCAGGTGGCTTTTCCCTTTTAAGGGGTGAACTGAAGGCTTTCACCCCAGGGGTGCCCAGCCTGGCAGTGGAAGCTGCAGCCTGTGCAGCGTTGCACCTGGGAGACGGGGAGTGGAAACTGCGCGAGGCTATAGGACGCGGGCGGGAGGCAGATACTCAACAGGCTGCACCGGACTCTGCCTTTATCGGATGCTTAACACGACTTGGCTCATTTTAGGCTTTTTTATTTTTATTTTTCGGCCTCCTTATGAGATCATTGATAAAATCCAACAAGTGGCCGCCTATAGCAAGCTATCTAATGAAGCATAAATGACACTGAATGCACAGCCTTGGTAGAAAAGTTCTATTACTTTGTAGTCCCACCTTCATTCTCTACTTCTCTGAGCAAAGGTTGACCACCTGCCACGGAACGCACTGCTGAGCTCTGGGGATGCTGAGGTACATGCATAGGACATCACACCCACCGTTGGTGCTGGACACCGTTGAAAGGGATACAATGGAAAAGGACATTTCTACCTTTTTTTTTTTTTTTTTTACAAAAATAAGATATGAATATATTTTGGGCAACATTTAAGATGGCATATGATTGCGTGCCAAAATAAGCAGTGCATGAAATGAGGACTTAGAGAATGGTAAGGTCAGGTTAGGAGATGAACCAGTGCCCATAAGTCAGTTCAGTAGGAGTAAAGAGCATCGAGGAATAGCAAAGCTATTGTCTATCTTCCTTTCTACTGTAGACCCCCCTCACCAAGAGGCAATGTGGGATGCTGGGGGAAATGGAGATTCCGGTCAGGGCAACTGCGGTTAGCATCTTGGTCCTGCCACTTAGTAGTTGTGTGACCTTAGGAGAACTTAACCTCTCTCATGCTCAGTGTCTTTATTTATAAGCTAGGGGTGATGTTATTGATCATTGATCACCTGATTCTTGGCAAATTTACCAATAATCCAGTGGATTAACACATGATTAATGATCAGATATTCTGATAGTGCTACCATTAATTAGAAGATAGGGTTTTTGTTTTTTTATTTATGAACTAGAGGCCAGTGCACGAAAATTCGTGCACTCGGTGGAGGGGGGGGGTGGTCCCCTCAGCCAGGCCTGCGCCCTCTCGCAGTCCTGGGGAATCGGGCCTAAGCTGGCAGTCAGACATCCCTCTGGCAGCCCGGGAGCCCTTGGGGGATGTCCACCTCCCAGCTTAGGCCCGCTGCCCAGGAGATCAGGCCTAAGCAGGCAGGCGGACATCCCCTGAGGGGTCCCGGACTGCGAGAGGGCGCAGGCCGGACTGAGGGAACCCCCCCTCCGGTGCACAAATTCTATGCACTGGCCCTCTAGTGTTTAATATTAACTTAGTAATAAGAGAGCTATGAGGATTTAGAAAAAATATCATTTAGTTAAGAAAATTAGGATAGGTTTCATGAAGGATGGCTAAATGAGCCTTTGAAACACAGATAAGATTTCCATTGATGGAAAAGGAATAGCATAAAAGTAATTCATAGAGCCCAAATAATATAATCAGCTCCAGAGGAAATCCATAAAGGGATATTCTTTTGAAGAGATTTCAGGGAGGTAAAATTTCCAAAAACTTTGGGCCCAAGTTGTCAGTCACGGCGTCTGTCTCTGTTTCTGTCTCTATGTGTCTCTCTCACTCTCATTTTTGTTGTTGTTGTTTTTAAGGGATAAAGTAGGAAAAGGTCATAGGTGATATACAAACAGCACTGCAGAAAGAAAAGAAATCTTGGGGAAAATGAAACACTGATATAATCATCATTAAACATTTTAAAATAATATCTCCTAGTAATGGAGCTCTTGTCTTACATTTTACATACACTATGTATTCCATAAAACAACCCTTTAAGATATTTTTTTAATAGACATTTAAAGATGAGGGAAGCGCTCAGAGAAGTTAAAAAATTTGCCCACCATCACAATAAGAGCATAAGTTAGGATTTAATTCAGTTCTTTTAGATTACAAAGCACTTTTATAATTAGGATGTCTAGCAAAATTGCTGTTAGAAAAATGAAAGCTGTTGTGTATCTGGGTAGAGTGAGGGTAAAAATTTAGGGAGTAAAAATAAAGCCATTCATTTCTGTTTTCTAATGTGTATATTTTAAAAGTTTATTAATAGAATCTTCAAAGAACTAACTTTGCCCCAATTCCCTGTTCTTTTCCTCCAGAGGAAAAAAACCCTGGAAGTAGTTTTCTTATCTCTTGTGTTTCTAGAAGGAGTACCTTATCTGTTTTTTGTGTGTTTTTGTTTTGTTTCTTGGTTTTTGTTTTTTTCTTTTCCCTCAAAGATTATGGCCATGCCAATTATAATTGAACTAGAGGTCCGGTGCATGAATTCGGGCATGAGTGAGGTCCCTAGGCCTGGCCGGCCATCAGGGCCGATTAGGTTCCCTGTCTCCCCACCTCCTCCTTCCCTCGCTGCTTGCATGCCACCACCATGCAGTTCCCCACCTCCCTGCCTCCTCCTTCCCTCACCACCCGCCACCACCCACTCCCGGTTCCCCGTCCCAGCCCAGGGCCCAGCCCCGACCGGGTGAGCAGGACCTTCCGGCCAGGGGGAGGGACCCAGGAGGTTGGCTGCCGGCCCTGAGGAGGGGGCCAGCCCTCGGCCCCCTTAGGAAAGGAACCATGTCCACCGCCACCCACCCCTGGTTCCCTGTCCCAGCCCGGGGGCCCAGCCACAATCAGGCAATCGGGGCCTGCCAGCCGGGGGTGGGACCAGGAGGTTGGCCAGCAAGCCCCATCAGCGATCGGGGCCTGCGGGCTGGGGGCAGCTCCTGCGTTGAGTGTCTGCCTCCTGGTGGTCAGTGCGCATCATAGCATCTGGTCATTCTGGTAGTTCCATTGTAGCGGTTGCTTAGGCTTTTATATATATACTAAGAGGCCCGGTGCACGAAATTTGTGCACTGTGGTGGGGGGGGGGGTCCCCTCAGCCTGGCCTGTGCCCTCTTGCAGTCCAGGACCACTCGGGGGATGTCTGCCTACTGGCTTAGGCCCACTCCCCAGGGAGTGGACATTCCTCTCGCAGTCTGGGACCCCTCGCTCCTTACTGCCTGCCTGCTTGCTGCTCCTTACCGCTCAGCTCGCTGCTCCTTAGTGCTGCCACTGATTCAGGAGAGGCTCTCGCCACCTCCGCTGCGCTCACCAGCTGTGAGTCTGGCTTCTGGCTGAGCGGCGTTCCCCCTGTGGGAGCACACTGACCACCAGGGGGCAGCTCCTGCATTGAGCGTCTGCCCCCTGGTGGTCAGTGCGCATCACAGTGACCAGTCATTCTGGTTGTTCTGCCATAATGGTCGCTTAAGCTTTTATTATATAAATAGATAACCACAAGGGCATTAAGGAAAGTTTTTCGAGTTGTTGTCCAAAAATATCAAAAGTGGGAACAAAATAACTTAATACTGAAATATTTGGTTAACTTTTAAAAATTCCAATTTCAAGAACTATGTTTTGTTTATTTCATTTTGCAGATAGCCAGCCATATATCTATAATGTATAATTTGGTAGTATTGCTTTCTAAAAGTTATACAAACCATGTACGTAATTCATTGTCTATCATTTTCCAGTGGCTTACTTTCCTAAACTTTATGACACTTATATGTCTGGTAGGCTTTTAAAAAGAATACTTTTGAAATTATTCTGTGTGTTTGGATTTTGAAAACTTGAACAGCTAAAGGAAATAATTTTTGACATCTGATGAGAGCAGGTTGTGAAACGTCTTCTTTAAAAGGATTGTAGAATTTAGGTTCAGCTTTGAAAATGATATTACCAAATACTGTTTTTTAAACTGTTGAATAGTTATTTGAAAATAATTAAATAATAATTGTAACTTTAATTTATTCTAATATCTGCAACATTTTGGTTAGTTTTATAAAAGAAGAACATGCATTGGTTTTATTTTGGAAGAGAGTAAGCAGCGGCCTTCATTAGAGCCCTTTACTATGCACTTACAAGTTAATGTTCTACTCATAATTTCTAGTTGTGTAGGAGAGTTTATTTCTAGTGTTACACTGTATAACAAATCTGTTATTTTATAGTTGGCCTTGGCAGAATTGTACAAAGATGAAGTGAAATGCAAATCTTCCAAAACTGATAGACCTAAAGCTTCAGTCTTTAAAAGCCCACGAACACCACCTCAAAGGTAAGTTTTTCTCTTATTTTTAAAAATTTTATCCCTTTTTAGTTCACTAATCCCAAATTATTTAAATGGCCTTGAAATCTTTTAAAAATAAACATTATCTAGGTTTTCCAGTGAGGTCTTTCTCACCAATACCCCTTTCTTTCTTTATCATTTTCTCTCCCTTTCTCTTCATCTTCCTTTCTCATTGCTACCTCTCTGTTGTACAGCTCCTAATACTAACGCTTGTCTTACGAGCCAGCTATCTATGGTGCCAGATGGGTACTGGAAATATTGAGGGATCACTTTGTAAAGTATATGATTATCTAACCACTATGCTATACACCTGAAACTAATTCAAAATAATATTGAATATAAACTGTAATTTAAAAATAAAATTTAAAAGAGAAAAGAAAAAAGAGCCACCTATGGTAGCACGTGGACCCTCAGTATAAGCTTGGCAGGAAAGCTTCCAGTGGCTCCTGCTTGGGGTAACCTGGGCCTCATCCTGCCCGGAGCTCTAGCAGGATGGGGGCAACCCCACCTCCACTTCCCCCCTGCCCTCAGCAGTGTGAGCCAGCCTTATGTTAGCTTCCGTTAGTGGGTTCTGCTTGCTAGTATCCACTGGTTCTCCAGGGGGACTTTTTCTTCACTTACAGTGAATTGAGAGCTGGTCTGCCCTTCCCTCTCTGTTCAGTTTTGCACATACTAATTTTGGAGAAAGTGTTGAAGGTGACCTTCATTCTTCATCTCTAGTGCTGATATAATTTGCCCACTTTTTGTTTTGTGGGTCAGTTCAGTGCAGATTTGAAACTGATTTGGAGGGAATGGGTAGTTAAAAACATGAGCTCTGATTGTCACCTTATACTTGAAGTCCCATGTTGATATTTCATAGGTTATATTAGCTGTTATTCTTGATTGAAAAAGATCTTAAAAGATAAAATAGGATACTAATGTAGAGGCAATTTTATGTTCTGGAAGACCGTTATGAAGTTGGAGTGAGTAGAAATCAGTTTCTACATAGTTAATACACTAAAAAACTTGTTTGTGGTCTAAATTATTTACCTTTAACACAGGGTTATAATTTTTTAGTCCAGAGAACTCTTAGGAGTAAACCCTCTATGTGTAGCTCTGCAGTCTAGATTTAGGTGTTCACTCTCTCTAAAGGTCTCTTCACTAACGAAGTCCCTAGTGATTGTAGATTCCTCAGGGAAAAGACTTAGCTTTTGGTTGCCAACACTTCTCCCCACCACACTCCAAAAGTGCATTTATAAGTGATTGCAAAGGATGAGAGAGGAAGAACCAAGCCGGTTCTCATGCTGCATGCTGAGCTTGCTACAGGAATCTCTGCAAACTCCACGAGAAATGATATGAACTGTTCACTATTTATTCCTTAATCCTATTTTTAAAATTAAATATTTTCACAGAAGGCATATAAATTATTCTTTTTACATTAAAGTTATTTTCTAAGACTGTAGCTTTTTACTTTAAAGTAGTTTATGTCTGTATTCTAAGTTTTTATTCACGAAGTGTAATGTTTAAAGGTTCTATTCAAGTGAGCATGAATACAGTGGATTGCATCTAGTTCGACCTTCAACTGGGAAAATAGTGAATGAACTTTTCAAAGAGGCAAAGGAACATGGGGCTGTCCCTCTACATGAAGCCACAAGAGCTTCAGGTGATGACAAAACTAAGGTAAATGCTCAATATCAAAACTAAGGATGCTACTTATATATTTGATCTCCTCTATAGGTTTTTTAAAAATTGATTTCAGAGAGAGAGGAAGGAAGAGAGGGAGTGAGGGAGGAGAGAGAGAGAAAGAGAGATTTGTTGTTCCACTTAGTTATGCATTCATTGGTTGATCTTGTATATGCCCTGACTGTGGTTTGAACTCGCAATCTTAGCATCTCAGGAAGACACTCCAACCAACTGAGCTACCCTCCCAGGGCTATAGTTTTTTATCTACACTAATAAAAGAGAAACATGGTAATTGGCGTATGACCGCTACCCTTTTCATTGGCTAATCAGTGAGTATATGCAAATTAACTGTCAGCCAAGATGGCGGCCGGCAGCCAGGCACTGAAGCGAGCACGAGGCTTGCTTGCTGC